TGACAAATCTCGTAAACATGTAAAATACAACCATACAATACATTAAAAAGTAACCCTTAAAAAAAAAAAAAAAAAAAAAAAAAACTCCAACTATTCTGAGCCTAAGTAGATGTCCCAGCCTAACCAGTTGAAGAGAGCCTAAAACTCCTTTAAAACCAGTCTCCAGGCCAGTCTGACCAGGCTGCGAGACTAGCAGACCGGTTTAGGCTGGTTTAAGATGATTTTTGGCGGGTTTCAGGCAATTTTCAGCTGGTCAGGCCTGAAGACCAGCTGTCCATTCAGATAAAAATAGCTCAGCCAGACTGGGAGTCCACCTTAAAGGGGTAATATGATGCGATTTCTATATTTAAAGAATTTGCCACTGACGATTCAAACGCGAGTTTTGAGCAGTGAGTAGCGCTTGTTGTTTGTCATTTCTCCAATCACAAATGCAGGCATGGGTTTGTTTACGCGGCGCGATGCAATGTGTAAAAAGGCAGTATAAGTCATTAAAGGCGGGGCATAGAGGAGAAACAATTATGTACAGTATGTGGAAAATAATGTTTTTTTAACCTTAAACCGCATAAACACATTTCATTGCACCAAATACACAAAATAATGTTATTTTTAGCAACATCATATGGCCCTTTAAACCAGCTCAGACTAACAAACCAAGGGGGTATTTACACAACAGCTTTCAACTAAAAACTGAAAACATTTTATGAGTTTTGGCTGTTCATTTACACTACAACAGTGTTTTGTTGGCCTGACGAGGAAAACTATTGAAAACGTGTTTCAAAGTTCAAGTTACCTTTATCGTCTTAATGTAAACTACAAAAATTACAAAGTGACATCGCCATCTACTGGCCTGGCATGCTTATAGCATTTTTTTGTCGTTTTCGTTGATCAGTGTGAACAGGGATCGTCTGTATGGAAAACTTTTTAAAAACACAAAGAAGAAACTTCTCCGTTTTTTGTACATTGTTGCCATATAAACGTCCCCCAAGTTTTTTTCAGCAAGCCAATAAACCGTTCTTATTCGCAACGCCGAATAATTCGCAACTCTTCCCATTCAATTTAACTAGGCAGACTCTTTGCTTCGTTTAACATAGTGTCTGAAAGGATCCGTCTCCAAACGTTGATTTGTGACACATTTGGCGTGTTCTCAAATAACCTTCACATTAAGCAGCGTCCGTCCTCATCTTAGGTCACATGTGGCTGGGCTCCTGGGGCCCAGAACGAGTAGAGTTAATTGAACACAAGGCGCCCGTCCGCCTGCCTACGTGCTCGCCGCCTGAGTGGAACTGTGTATTTCCAGCGAGCGAGAGACAGAATAATGCCGTGCCCTGTGTGCCCCGGCGAGCTATCGCTGCTCTGCCGTTGCCATGGTGACAGTGCCCTCACTGGGTACAGCGGGCTGGAGAAGTTGCTCTGGCTCTGCGTCATATTTATTCCAGTGGATCCGTGCGCTCTCTCCCGCCTCCTCCTTTTGCTCTCCTCTACGTTCTCTCTCTTTCTCTCTCTTTCTCTCTGTCCATGCTTTTTAGGGCTAATTGACCCAGCTCCAGATCATCAATACGACGAGCTTCGACTACCACAAACGGCACAGACTCCGAAAAGGTAAAATGTGGTGAGGCAAACAATGTGGAACTTGATTAGACTCATTTGCTTTTATTGAACTCGAGCTGTTTTAGTGTAATAAACGGACTGCATTTTGTGTTGTTTTCATGCACTTAATTGGATCAAGAGTTGATTGTAGATCCTTCCTCTCTGTTTCTCGACAGCGCGACCGGGAACACCAGCGTAACTGCGAGGGAAGGTGAGTGAGTGTCAGCGCACACAGGTAAACATCTAAGCTTCCATAATGGTGGTGTCAGAGGAAAGACAGAGGAGGGATCATCTTTGTTTTCAGCAGAGTCGGAGTGTGAGAGCGTGTGACTGAGGACGAAAGAGAGAGAGGGAGGGAGGGAGAGCGGGACCTGATTGTGCAGTCTGTGGTGAAGAGCATCTCCCGAGGCTCAGGGCTTCAAAGCCAATCTGTGGCTCTGAAAACAAAAAGCCATTTCCTACAGCAGCGCACAGAAACCCTTCAGTGTGAAATTATTCTCAGTGGAGTGGCTCTCTTTGTTCTTTGCTCGCTGTGTTTCGGACCGCAGCTCCTCTCGGCTGAAGAAAGTAAATCAGATGAGTTCATTAAAGGCATTTCTGGAGTAAGTAATAGCAGGGACTCGTCTGATTTTACATCCGACTGGCGGGTCGTTCGTGCGCGCGTGGGATTGAGAGTGTTGTCACTGTGTCATCAGCATATTGATTTTGAGTGACAGGTGACGTATAATAACAGCAGTACGATGAAAGCAGTGCCCTGTTCCCTAGATACGCCGGATGAGAGTCTGTGAAATCAAGAGGTTGCTGAGTGCTCTCTCACTCCCCCCTCTCTGGAGTTGTCAGGCGGCTTTGACAGGGTACGTAAAGGACCAGTGGTGTGTGAGATTCGGTAGTTAGAAGCACAGCCCACTGGAGGGAGAGGCTTTGAGAAGGGAGAGCGAGGGAGGCGTCGGATCGATCGCGGGACTGACACGGAGCGGGTGCCATGTGGACGGGGACCTCTGTCTGTCCTTTGGGACTATGAGAAAGCCAATGAGTCTTTAAAAAAGGGAGGGCTGAAGATGTGAATGTGCACTTAGACAAAGACGAATGCTGAGCTTTTTATACTTGCAAAGTGAATAACTTCTACAGTGTATTGTTTGATGTGAGTGCTCAGCCAGTTTTAGATACTGATTCCTTGAAGAAATTAGACCCCTTAGCACACTCTAAGGAGGCTGTTTCTCCAATGTCCCAGTACTCCAGGTACGTTTTGCATTTTTAATCTAAACTGTCTGTAGCCATTAACTGAACCATTTTCTTGTCTGTACAAATAAATGGCAGTTGCCACGTTTATAGAACAAGGTATTTCTATGTTTTTGGACAGGTTGCATGGAAATACCATTGTATTCTTAAAAGTACTTTGATGTACCATTTAGACATCATGCTATATGAATATGGTAACAAAATCATTAAGAATCATTACTGTACTAATTGAAAAAAAGATATTACTGCGTTTCTGATCATAGTATTCTTAAAAGTACCATGTAAATGCCATGCTATATGAATATGGTAAGCATTAACAGTACCATTATCTTGTCATTATGAATAAATCACAGTTATTATACTAACAGAAAAAGTTACCATGTATAATGGGAAATGCCAAGATAACTTGATGTACCAGGTAGATAATAATGATATTATAACCATTAACGAACCATTGATTTTGTTGATGTTGTCAGTACAAATAAATCACATTTAGTGTGATTACACACACACAGACACACACACACACACACACACACACACAAAAATATATATATAAATAATTTTTGTCACTATGAATAAACCACAGTTATTGTACTTACAAAAGCCATTGCCATTGTTTTTCCATCTAATCATTGTACTCTCACAGGTGCTGATATTAAAATGATAGATAATAAAAATTACAATAATATATATTTTTCAATATAATATTCCAAATATAAATAAAACAAACTATAATCAGTTATTTTAAATTCTACAAGTGAATTTAGTCATCACAATATTATAATCTGCAGTATAAAGATTGAGATTTAATTTATTAAATGTTATTAAATAAGTGTCTTTTATATTAATATTTACTATACTAATATTACTTATATTTGCTGTTTGCTAATAACTTCTAGGTAAATATTTACTATAAAAAATGTGTATAATAATATATATTATACAGACATTAACATTTGTTAAATGATGGCAAAGGTAATTAAAGGGAAATAAGCATGTACAACTGAATATCTAATATTTATTGATACTGATAAATGTAAAAAAGTATCTCTAATATATTTTTTGACTAATAACTGATATGGTACCGTACCAATATATTGTGCATGTCTCCCCCACAGTACTTTTCTGTGAATGTATCAAAGAGTGAATAATGCATAGCAATGCATAGGTTACTGAAATGTACAGAACATGGAAAGAGCAGAAGGACGGCTGTATGAGGAGAAGGCAGATCAGTCATGCAGCAGATAGAGTGTGTGTGTCTCACTCTGGCAGGGGTGAGCTGTACAGCGGACCCCAGGGAGCATCAGGAGGGCAGGCTGTACGTGTGCTTGTGTGTGTATGTGTGTGTGTTTATGCAGTGTGTCGTAGCTCCACTAGGCGGTAATGACTCCTTGCCTCTGGGCTCTGGCTGCCTCTGTTTATCTCCGTTAGCAGCACAAGGCAAAAATAGGCAATACATAGAGAGAAAAAAAGAACAGCATCACATGGCCACTGTGCGCTAAAATGTGCCTCACAGGTCACTTTGACAATGTTGGCTCTCGCTTTCCCTCTCCCTCCCTCTCTGACCCTCTCCTGTGTCACACACACACACTCTGTCTCTCTCACTCTCATATTTTCTCCCTCCCACAAGTATTGCAATTTGCATATTAATGAACCTGGGTGCAGTGTCGAGCAGGAGTGTAATTCCTACTTCCTGTTTCTCGCTGAGCTCTTGTTTCTACATTTTGATTTTTTGTGCCCTCCTCCTGCTGACTCCCCACCCCCTTTCTGCCTGTTTCTATTTCTCAGAAGAAGCCCATGCTAACAGTGCGTGGACTGAACAACACCATTTCATTAAGAGCAGTGCCAAACATGTGAGAAGATGTCTGTTGGAGGTTGTGCTTGCCCAGGTAAGAGCTTTAATTCCCTCTCTTCTGCATGGACAGCTTCAGGCAGGAGCTGCGAAACAGCATGGGGTTTTTGGGAATGAAAGGATACTACACCTAGAAGATTTCACATCTCTTTTGCTCCATTACTGTGGGCCACTTAGGTCATATGTTGCATTGCATTGCATCTATGGCCTGTTTATTTGAACTGGAAAGGAGCATTAAATAAATCAGCATTCCTGTAGGGTGACATTTGATTTAGAAGTTCATTTGTGTCATTTATTTCTGCACGTAATGGCAAGCATTTGTTCATGATCTCAGAGCAGAGACTTCCTGGACATTGCTGTGACTTGACTAGCCTCTGACTGGTGTGTATAGTTGTGTGGAGTGCTGTCCTTTTGTCAAATGACGTCAGCCATCGCTCACATCTTAAAGTGCTTTGCATAGAGAAACAAGTAAAGGCTTTTGATTGAGCAGGACACTGTGGCAGTTTAACTTCTGACGGTTATGAAAAACATATTCTCTTTGTTTTTCCTTCATGAATCATGTTCTGAAAACAATTTTAGGCGTTGGTTGGTCATTTGTGCCAATGGCAGGAAATAATATAAAGAAAAAACTTCAGACACAAATTCGTTCATCTGCATTGCAAACATTTTTCACATGTTGAAGGCATTTGAAATCAAAGGCATTAGCTTTTTTGTCAGCTGTTCTTGCTTTGAGACTGTTGAATAGAGAAATCTTAAACATCTGTCTTGACTAATTTATATAGGAATTGCACAATCAGTCACAAGCATAAATCACTGTAAACTTTGCATACAAATTAGCCTTATTTTACATTTGTTAACTTTTATAAATAGTTATAGTTATTTTAGTATTATTACTTACATTTATAATGCATAAACCAATATTGGTTTATTCATATTTATAAATATAATACTTTTATATATTTATGCATCTATATTTATTATTAGTTTATAAATACTTATTTGTTATGCACACCAATAAGCTCTGTTCATTTATGTATGAATTAATTTATTTATACTTTTAAATATTTACATTGATGTTTACATCTATTCATATTTATAAAAATATTTGTATTTATAAATCTCCATATTTTTTTATTTGTTTATATATATTTAAATGTTTTGTTTTATATTTATATAATATTTGTATTTACTCACTTGCATTTAAAGTATACAATTTGATCGGTTCAAATCAAACCCAATACTTTGCCAGCACCACACTCTACTATGGGACTGAATCTTCATAAAAATCAAGTGATGCTCCTAAAGACGTGGCTTCATGTTGGTGATCTGACAGCAAGTATCCTCATAGGGAATCTCCGTTCAATGGCGGCATGAAATGTTTGGTCATACACCGTTAAAGCTGCTAAGATTTGGAAATCTATCTGTCTGTCTGAAAGTGTCTGAATGTTACCTGTTGGCCCTGTAATGAAAGAGCGTAGCTGGTTTGAGTGTGGTCAAATATGCTGGAAGCAGTGATGTAGCATATGTTGACTTTGCTGTGCAGCCCAGTGTGCGCCATCACCTAAACAGAGAGGACAAATTTACACCACTAGACACAAGGCACCCTTGTTTCTGACCCAGTATTTTTCTCTCACAAGTTCTAGTCTCTAAATCACTTAAATACGTTTTTAATCGAGTCCATATGTTCAGTCCATAGGAGTTTCCAAGTACCAAACTTCATGTTCTTAAGATCTGTGGCATCATGGAAAGACACATACAGGGCACATAACGTCTGTCCTCTCCCTCACTGCGATAAAGATTAAAAACAGGGTGAATGGCATCAAGGCAAGTTTGGACCAGTGTGGGGATTGTTTCTGTGCCATAAACACAAGGCAAGCAGTTTCTTCAGACGTTCTCAAGTCAGATTTTTATCTCCGCGCAAGAGGCAGCCACAAAAACCTCTCTGGCAACCCCATTGATAAACAAGCCAAAATTTGGCACGTTGCGTTTGTTTAAAATCAAGTCACAAGGGTACATTTTTACAAGCGTAGTCATGGAAATTTCCACAGACATGTGTCCTGTCTGATTGCTTTCCTTTTTTGTGAGGAGGGAGGCGGGAAAGAGGACGAAGAGAAGAAAGAAGGAAACGGGGCGAGACTGAAACAGAGGCTCGGAGCACGAGAGATGGCTCTTTCTTGCTTTTGTGTGGGGTCCCACTGCGCCGTTTCATAAAAGGCAGAAGAGCACCGTAAAAAACTGCTTGTGATGTTCACCTCTGTCAGAAACACGATGCAATCTGTGTTTACAGCGCACACCCCTCCCCTCAACACAGGTTTTGTTTGAAGTCTGGTTTGTTTACATTCCTATGCTCATGTGGGCTGCACATACAGTGGGCCGCCGTGATCTTCCCATCTGGATTTGCGGATATATCGCTGAGCGTGGATTGCATGCTTTTAATGGCCTCTTTTATAGCTTTGTTTGAGCTAGATAACAACCCATACCGACGCTTTTAAATGATACTAAGCTCCATCCAGCTGCTCTCTGCCACTCGACTCTCTACCTCTCACCCACAGGCACTTGATATCAGCATGTGTCCTGTTACCTCATGCAGAAAGTCACATGGCCCCTTGATTAGAAGGAAATGACTTTAAGTAAAGCTAAAATAGCAACCTCGGTCACAAAGCAAGCCTGTTTCAAGTTGCACAATGACGAAAGGGTTAGGGTGTGCCCGTCAAGTTAGGAGAAGCTGTGCTGATTTACTGTCTCCCTGCTGGATTGGCAATGCCTGTGCATGGTGGGTTTAGCGTGCATTTGTGTGTGCGTGTGCAACATCTCCCCCCTCTCCAGCCCGTGGCTCACTGATCTGTCTCATTACACAGAGCTAGAACAAAATGGCTTCCTGTACAGAAAAAAATCAGCTCCCCTCAACTTGTCAGTGTTAGATGGGGATGTTAGAACTCGTTATGTCACGTGTCAGCGATTGTGAGGGAATATTAGATGAGAGCTGGCATTTGCCAGCTGCATGACTCCACCACAGCAAGAACCAATGCGCTGTTTGAACAAAAATGACACATGATTTTACAGACTGAATGAAGATTTATTAGTGGTGCTTGGTAGGATAAGCATCACTATTGCTATTGCTTATATTTGTACCTCTATTTGTATTCAGATTTGGCATGTGACTCACTGTTTGTGCTGTGGATATGAATGATTCCTTAAATTGTGCGAATTGATGATAAAAGGTTTGCTGTTACTTTTCCATGTGTTTTCAAACTGTCATCCTTCTGGGCACCACAGGGTCACAGAAGGGTGCATGCTAGGGGTCTCAATATAAACAAATATGTAATCCTTTTTACCACACTCACAGAATTTGACAGTATTAATTCAAAATGTTGTTTTAGGGCAGTCAAAATCAGCACTTTTGTAGTTTCTTAGTAAAAAAAAAAAAAAAAAGGTCAGTTAGTACATAAAAAAAACAACTTTTCTCACACCGTTTAAATGGGTCACAACTTTTCAAATCTTCTGCAGGTAATCACACCAGTATGCCACTTAAATGTGATATTGCTATTACATAGGCTGCTAGTTTAATAAACAGATATATATATTTTTTAAAACATAGAATAGTTAATAAAATAAAATTGAGCAACTTACCTTTTACACACAATATAACCAGTTACTGTACCTACTGTTGTGCCAGAAACACACAGTAGTACAGTTTTGTTCCTAAATGAATCAGTGTTTTTGAACGAATCGTTTGAGTGAATGAATCAATGACTCCTGAAAACACTTGAATTCGAAACAGTGCACTATATTGTAGAAAAAGTAATAGACCTATGCTATTAAGCTACTCGGAATTCTGTCTCATATTCTTGATTGGATCCTGTTTTTGAGCAAATGATTTAATATATGATCAAATGACTCACTTATACAGACAGTCACTTGTCGCCACCTGCTGGTGTAATTAAGTAATTTGTAGTAAGAGTGATTGGGTTAAAGGGATAGTTCACCCAAAAATGAAAATTCTGTCATTAATTACTCACCCTCATGTCGTTCCAAACCCGTAAGACCTCCATTCATCTTCGAAACACAAATTAAGATATTTTGATGCATTCCGAGAGATCTCTGACCCTCCCATAGACAGCAAGCATACTACCTAGGTCAAGGTCCAGAAACATAGCAAGGACATCGTTAAAATAATCCATGTGACATCAGTGGTTCAACCGTCATTTTACAAAGCTACGAGAATACTTTTTGTGCGCAAAGAAAACACGTTGGATACTTTGTCTACGTTGTCTATGCTTTGATCTGAATGAAAACAACGTATCCGTGTGACGCAGCTGACACAGAACAGAATGCTGTTTATGTTCAGTGGATACTCTCTAAAATGGCGCCAGGGTGACGCTGAGAAGACAAATTGTTGAATAAAGTCGTTATTTTTGTTTTCTTTGCGCACATAAAGTATTCTCGTAGCTTTGTAAAATTACGGTTGAACCACTGATGTCACATGGATTAATTTACGATGTCCTTGCTACGTTTCTGGACCTTGACCATGGTAGTATGCTTGCTGTCTATGGGAGGGTCAGAGATCTCTTGGAATTTATAAAAAAATATCTTAATTTGTGTTCTGAAGATGAACGGAGGTCTTACGGGTTTGGAACGACATGAGGGTGAGAAATTAATGACAGAATTTTCATTTTTGAGTGAACTATCCCTTTAAGAAATCCTTTCATTAGACTAGACTTACTCTGAAGGTAGAAGCCAAGCAATCTAGAAAGCAGAATATAATGGAGACTTTTTGCTAGGGGTTGACTCTTTACTTGGGCTAATAAACTGCTTTGCATCTAACGTTACCCAAAACATTCTAGGAACTGCATAGCAACACCCTGACTTCATGGTGGTGACTTTTGCATGGGCAAATACTTTGTTCAGAAAATGTTAGAATGTAATTTTGCAATCATGATAAATAGCAGCTGCTTTAGTTGGACCCGAATAATTGTATAGATTAGCAATTGTAAATGTAAGACCGAGTGTATTGCAGAACTGCAGTAATAAAATGAG